CGTTTTAAAATTACATTGACAATAGGAGAACGATTCACATTTTTTACAAGCCATTCCATCTACTTGACATTCAGGTGTTTTGAAACACTTTAGATTACAACAATAGTATTTTAAATCGTATTCCGATTTGGGATCAAAAGATGAATTGGAATTACACTGTGACATGTTGCTCGACTGAATTCTAAAACAAGAATGAAAAGCAATGTGTTGTGAGCTGCTATTTATAGTGCAAGAGTCAGCAGCTCTCATGCATCTGTCACAAGTTAGTCTACATTTTTCCATAGTAGGTTAACCATTTGTGTTAGATCGTGTATGTAATTTTGATGCTTGTCTTGATATGTTTTACACCTACATTTGCAATAGCCAACAGACTCACATTTTTTACAAGCTTTTCCATCAACTTTACTTTCAGGCTTTCTAAAACATTTTAAATTACAACAATAGTTATCCAAATCGTATTTGGATTTGTAAACAAAAGGTAAATTGTATTTACGCTGTGACATGATGCTCGGTGAATTGTTAAAACAAGACTGAGAGCAACTGCGTGTAAGACCTGTTATTTATAGTAAACATTTCAAGGTCATTTGTTTGAATTTTAAAAAAGAAACAACATATCAGCATATATAATTAATTTTATGCTGATATGTTGTTTCCTCTTTTAATTTTTTTTTATTTATTTATTTATTTTACAATGACATAAACATGTTTCAAACATATGTACATAGACGGTTATTTACAGAAAAAACTTAAAACTAGCATTGATGGGTGATGTGTAGAGATAGTTCAGTGAAATTGTTTCCGCAAACTCCGTGTGATACCAAATAGAGGGATCCTGGTTGAATACCTCGCAGGTCTTCGTTTTGTAGTTGCTGCACAAATCGTCTTGGAAGATAAACTTGAAATTTCGGTTCATCACCTGGTGAAAACGGTGCCTCGCTCAGTGATGCTAAAATTGCGTCTCCATGTGAAGTTTCTGTCTTCTTCAGCTCGTGAACGATGTAGTGTTTGTGTTCCTTCAATTCGTGACATTTCTTAGTACTTACTCTAGCTTTTTAAAGTAGGGGAGTCCCATAATAAAGCTGTTAACTGTAATCATTAAATAAATAAAAAATATGTAGAAAGATCTGTCAGGCTGGAAACCATCCAAAGTGTGTATGTAATTTTCATTAAATATGTAAAAAAATAAGTAGGTTTCACGATAAATTAAAATATGTTAAACAACATTTCTTTCGATTAAAAGCTAAAATAAAAAGTTGTTTAACACTTTTATTTTCTTGAAATGTTAATTAAAAACAAAAATAATATGACATAGTTGCAGTTGGGCCATGACTAATCATTCATCTGTAGCAATTAAATAGTTTTACATACAGGCTTCTGGGGTAGCGGGCAGGTTGGCTATCCTGACTATGTGTAGCTAAATTACATACGATTGGTAGCGGGCACACTTTTTATTATTAAAAAGGCTATAGTAGGCTATTTAATACATAAAATGACATGATATACTTAGTATTAGCGTATTAGCTATAGGTAAGTTACATGTTTGAATTATTGATTAATAATGTATTTATAATGGTTCCTGTGAGCACAGTTTTTTTTCGCATGGTTCAAAGATCTGTACTGTAACTAAACTGGGCGGGCTGGATAATTTTATTACCCTTACCATTTAGGGGTTATTTTTTGGTAATGGGGGCGGCAAACTTTTTTTTATTTATAAATCCTGTGAGCACATTTTTCAGCACAGTTACTTGACATGTGTTATAGATCTGAAGCTGAAATGGGCGGGCTGAGTCATTTTATTACCCTTACCAGTTAGGGGTTATTTGTTCAGTAACGGGGGCGGTACACTTTTTTTTATTAATGATTCCTGGGAGCACACTTTCAGCACAGTCTTTTGGCATGGTTTATAGATCTGTAGCTGAAATGGGCTGGCTGGGTCATTTTATTACCCTTACCAGTTAGGGGTTATTTGTTCAGTAACGGGGGCGGCACACTTTTTTTATTAATGATTCCTGTGAGCACACTTTCAGCACAGTTTTTTGACATGGTTTATAGATCTGTATCTGAAATGGGCGGGCCAGCCGTGATTCTGGCCCGCCCAAATACAATTGATTATATCATAATTATTAGAAGAGCACACTTTTTTTAAAAAGCTGTTATAAAGAGCACACTTTTTTGTATTTATTTAAAAAAAAGTGTGCTGGAATGGGCGGGCCAGCTTCACGTCACTGAGTATCTATTTATCTCAATAGTCAATGCGTCAGGCTCGTAACGTCCCTTGAGCCTTGCGGGAACTCGACCCTGGGAGGGGTGTGTCGTTGTCATTCCATCTGCCGGGAAGGTCTCGTAGTTGGGTCGTATAGCTGCATATAGTGGCAGAATATTTCAGTTCTGGCAGAGAGGCTGCAATTTTAGGTGGTTATAGTATACAAGTTTCTGAACCTAAAACCGCCCAGACCCCAATTTTTAAGGACCTCGGTTGTCCGTAATGACGTCATCAAAATGGCGGCCGTAAGAGGATGCTGGGTCCCCATGAATTGGCTATAACAACCGAATGCCTGAACCGATTTTCATGAAATTTGGCACACAAGTGCTTGATCCAAGAAGGCGGCCAAAAATTTAAACCCAGTCAAAATTAAGTACTTGCTACTCTACAATGATCTGACGTGGTTCGAAGTTGATATCTTAAGAAATGTATAAAAAAGTAGGGGGGAACTCATTTAAAACTCACCCTGTATAAAACAATTCACAATTATTTTCCTCATAATCTTTTTTAGTTTTGAAAAGCCGCCATTTTGAAATGACTTGATGAAACTTGACCATTTTCAACCCAGGCTGAGATAATGTATTCAAGCACTTGTGTGCCAAATTTAATGAAAATCGGTTCAGGCATTCGGTCGTTATAGCCAATTCATGGGGACCCAGCATCCTCTTACGGCCGCCATTTTGATGACTGTTTTACATTTATCTCATCATCTTTGTACAATGGCATCTCCAAATAGTGATTTTAAAATTGATACTTATACACGACTCACATCTATTATTAAAAACCGATGAATACAGACACAACAGTGAGCTCAACTACATTGACAAGTGACAGTGCTACTATCCATCCTACCAACTTTGCTGTCATACCAAGTGACCGTGCTGTTATAAACCCTACTGATAAAACTGTCACCCATCCTACTGGCCGGGCTGCTATCCAAACGATAGACAGTGCTGCCGTTAACCCAACCCACAGTGCAACCACTACAGTAAAGACAGTCAAGCAATCCAGTCAAGTGGTTGTATCTTCCGATGGAGCTCTGACCAATAGCTACTCTTCATCACAAACTACAGAGGAAGGCGCTCATCCTCCAATCTCAACTTGTTGAATTATTGAAACAAGAGTGCTTTGAATTGAAGAAATGTGTTATGAACTGTCAAGACTTGTTCACTTCTGTTACTCAATCTCATCATAAAACACCAAAGTTCCTTCAAAACTCTGATGCTCAACATTTCAAAGAGCTAGGACTTCGGTGGTCTCCAGCAACTGTTTTTAAGGTGTTTCCCAGCAAAGATGGTATAGGTTGAAAAGAGAAGTAGAAAAATGCAAACAGATGCTATAGCCGGCCTACAACAAACTTTTGTGTTAAGTAATGTGTTTTGTTCTAAACTAACTGTTGAAGTGAGGGCACTTCAAGGCCGGGAGTATGTTCAGTTCTTTTATCTAAAAATTTTCTTTAGCCTGGTTAGAATTTTTAAATTACTAAAACAGTTGATGATTTAAAGATACCATTGTATTATATAAATAAACATCATTCCTTTCTGTTCTTCTTGAAAACATGACTTTTATTTTTTCTCTCTTAATTTTTCATTAATTTACTCAAACACTCCACATTATTTAATGGTCCTTCGAGCCGGATATTACTTAAGCGATTTGGAATATTACACACATCCACTAATCATCAGCTGTTTTACTAATTTAAAAATTCTAACCAGGCTAAAGAAAAATTTTAGATAAAAGAACTGAACAGATGACGTCATTACGGACGACCGAGGCCCTTAAAAATTGGGGTCTGGGCGGTTTTAGGTTCAGAAACTTGTATACTATAACCACCTAAAATTGCAGCCTCTCTGCCAGAACTGAAATATTTTCCTGCTACCCAACCTGACTATCGTGTAAAGTGTACTCTGTACGCACAATTTGTTTTTCAGGATTTATTTTGCCAACAGTGTCATTTAGAGGCTTCTGATTGACTATAATGTAGGTTTACTAATTGAAAAATTAGTTTTGTTCATTGAATAAAATTATAAATGCCTCAAATTCAATTTTATAGTTTTTTTATTGTGAAATTAAATAGTCATAACCTAACCAAACCAACCAAACGTGCTGACAATGAAAAAATCTAATGAAGGTTTATTAATCGAAAAAATAGTTGTGTTCATAAAATAAAATTATAAATGCCTCAAATCCTATTTTATAATTTTTAATTATAAAATTAAACTATCATAACCTAACCAAACTAACCAGACTTGCTGATAATGAAAAGTCGAATGAAGGTTTTATTCGAAAATATGTTTCTGTTCATAAAATAAAACTATAAATGGGTCAAATTCAATTTTATAATGTGTTAATTATAAAATTAAACCATCATAACCTAACCAAACCAACCAAACGTGTTGATAATGAAAAAGTCCAATACAAAAAATAGTGCTACGGGTGGGATTCGAACCCAGGTCCTTCGGATTATCAGCCCATCACTCTATCCACTACACCACCGAGGCCGTTGGCGTAAATCCGTATCGTTGCGGTAATGATGTTCCCTCAGCCAATCAGAAGCCTCAAAATAATACTGTAGGCAACACTAAACCTGAAATAAAAATTCAGCACTCTGTACATAGCACAGGGCACAGAGCGAGAGCACGGGCAGACGACAGAATGTTTGGAATAGGATTATGGGAATAAATAGAAAATAGATTAACCTAAAATAGCTCGATTTTGAAAGAGGTTATGTTGTTGTTGTTGTAGATCATTATGTTTAGTTAGTTAGAGCCACGTTAGAGCTTATGTCGTCAATGCGAGTATTTACACAAATTATCATCAACAACGCCTTTAACAACACTAACCAGCTTCTGGACAGTATCATGGTATGTTGAATGTTGAAAAGCAAAAACTAATAACAATCAACAAAGACAAGGGACCGAATCACTCACACTCAATGCTATTTAGCCTACATAAGTTTATACGATTCAATGGTAGAGAAATAGATAGACTAGAGTAGTTTAAGATTTCATCAAACTAGGCAATGGTTTGAAATATCTTGCTGTTGCTGACAACATAAATTATCCACATAGGCCTACTAAATTCATCCCATCAACTCTTTCACTCTTTCTGGTAAGTCCTAGGCTAGTAGGCTATTTAATACATAAAATGACATGATATACTTAGTATTAGCTATAGGTAAGTTACATGTTTGAATTATTGATTAATTAATATTTAAACACTTTGGGTAGGTTGAGACTTCAGTTGCATTAGGTACTCAATATAGCCTAGGCCTAGGCGTAGCCATAGATAAGACATACTCCCTTAGTAGATTTCTCATCCTTACGGAACAGCTGAAGACAATTTTATTGTTAGTTCTGTACGGTTTATGTAGAGGTCGTGTTTTGTTTACAATTTGTTTCCCGTTATTACAGCCATTTAAAACCTTGTTTAACCAAATAATACGATCTAATCATAAACAATAACCTGTCCCCTAGTTATATAACCAAACAGTAAAGCACAAATCAAGAAATTAACCCTAAAATAATAGAAACAAAGTTTCGTCGACACTACCTATCACCTTATTACCTTATTACCTCCTCCTTGGCTTGATACCAGCATAAGCTGGATAGGCTGCGTCAATATTTACAATTTATAAAAAAAATAAACTATTTACAGTATATACAGTCTTCCATTTAGTCGGACTTTCGTATGGTCATTAGACCAAAAGAACTTAAAAAACTTTAAAAACTTTATGGCGGTAGATTTAGAGTCCTGTGAGGTCGTCCTCAAAGAATTCCTTGAGAGAGTAATACGGCCTAGCTTTTAGCCAACACTTTAACCTTGCTTGAAACTGATTGTGGTTTAAATCCCTTACTGCAACCGGCAACTTATTGGTCAGTCTGAGGGCCATGACAGGGAAAGTGTCTTTTGTCCTGCTGAGCCTACAAAGGGTACGTCAATGTGATTTTTGCGTCTGGTGTTATGCGCATGCACCTGCTGTCTGGTGGTAAAGGTATTTACATTGGAGTGTACGTAGCTGACACATTGAAGGATGTAGTTACTGTGTATGGTGAGTATGCCCAAGTCAGCGAATATAGGCTTGCAGTGCTCCTGTCGCCCGCTGCCAGTCATAATTCTCAGAGCTTTCTTCTGCTGCTTTAGGATTCTGGAGACATTAGCTGCATGACCCCATAGCTGGAGACCGTAAGTAACGTGGCTGTGGAATAAAGCGTGGTAGACCACAACTAGGTAAGCTTTATCAACTAGTCTCGTTAACTTCCTGAGAAGATGTGTTACTCTCGACAACCTCTTAGCCACGTTATCCACATGGTCTTTCCAACTCAGCTTTGGGTCAATCGTAAAGCCTAGCAGATTTACCTTGACAACGTCCTGAGCCAAGTTTGAATTAAGTGAGCACAGGATTTTTTGTGTCTTGTCTTGGTTTAGTTTTAATTTGTTTGTCTCAAACCAGTCCTTTGCTGCCCTAAACATCACTTCAGCTTCTAGCGCCCATGTGTCACGTACATGAACTAGACACGAAAAACGTGCTTCAAAATTTACAATGGGATGAGAAGTCTACTTGTGTTGGTTAGTCTATGACGTAGCTTCTACACAGGGACTAGTCACCTATAAAAGGCAAAGCCCTCACTGACTGACTGACTGACTGACTCACTCACTCACTCATCACTAATTCTCCCACTTCCCACTTACCTAGGAGGCTGAAATTTGGTACACTGATTCTTTAGGCATTAAATAGGAAAACTAAGTAGTTTTTATTCTGATCGGACTCTCGGGCTCCGCCCCAGTGGCTCTGGAGTTTCCCATGTTAACCTAATGAGTACTCATATTTAAATGGAATTAATGAATCATAACAGCTGTTTCAATTAAACAAGTTGGTTCTGTTCTATGATATTCAATAGCATTAAAGTTACAAGGATTACCAACAGAGTGCAGCACTATTATTTTTTTAAATATTTGACAACAGCTAATTTGAAACTTCAACCCGGAGGCGAGGTAGCGTAGCGAACGAGCTAACCTGAAGGCAAGTGAGCGCAGCGAACGAGCTCCAACCGTAAAGGTGAGTGAGCGTAGCGAACGAACTTCAACCAGGACGTGTGAGCGCAGCGAACGAGCTCCAACCTAAAGGTGAGTGAGCGTAGCGAACGAACTTCAACCAGGACGTGATTGAGCCATGCGAACGAGCTCAAGTATGAAGTTAAACGGGGCAAAGCCCGCGGGTACAGCTAGTATCTTATAATTTTTCAAAAGCTGATCTTGTTTTTTAGTGTTTTCTACTAATAGCCTTAGGCCTACTCATAGCCGCATTATTTTGTCCATAATAACGATTATAATAATAAAAACAAAATTATTTCTATTTCTTCTCCTTGGTGGTGTTCTATGACTTTCCTATGTTTCCATAGTATGCAAATCGGCTCTTTAATGATTAACACAGTGTTAATTCAGTTTTCTGTTTAGTATATCAAATTATCCAGGGTCTCCCGCTTTTTCCCTTTGTAATATTTACGCCAACCAAAATTCAAATTGTAAATATTTCATTTCAACCAAGTACGGTAAGTAAATGTTTGTGGAAAACTGTTAAATTAGCAAACTTATTGACTGTTTAAAATCAACATATGCTCTTCTTCTCACTTTTAATTTCTGACAACAGCTGGAGTTTCATAACAATTTTTGTTTCCCATGTTAATCTTATGGAGAAATATGAAACTTTAAAGGGCCCTAGGGCCTCACTCATTAACTATTTCCCTTAAAAAAAAGTTTCCTGCACAACTTCACGTTACGCTCTTTCCAATGACACCAAAAACATGTCAATCGGTACAGTAGTTTCGGAGGAGTGATTGTCACAAAAAACCTGCTTGCGTATTAAATATAAGTATATAGATATAGATAATGTATTACTGTTACCAGTATTTTATCCTTATTAATGATTTTATTGATTTATATTTCGCCGTTTAGAAATTACATAATAAAATGGTGCTATTCTAACATAGCCTAACCTAACCAAACCTCTAGAATGTGTAAGCAAACTCCTTTTGATGTCAGAAAGCTGCATTTTTGAAATAGTAATTTGAAGTGTTTTTTTCTGGATTTTAATTTTACAAAAACAGTCAACTAACAACTCGATAAACATAAACTAACAACTCGATACATTATAACCTAAACTTTAACTTACCTAATCTAACCTACCTTCAAAGGACTTAATGCAGTCACCAATCCACATAAAGCACGACCTATCACCCTGACATGCCTAAATAAGAACTACATGTAATTAGTCCACCAGTCCATCTATATCTCCATAATGTGACGAAATTCCTATTAGGCCTATAGAGAACATTAAGTTATTTGACTACAGAATCACTTGAAATGTTATCCATCCTATCTTGTTTATTCTAATGTTAAGTTTGTTTTTACTGCGATATCTTCATAAATATTCATCAGCGGTTAAAAATAATGGTATATTTGGATTCAGGAGGTAAAAAACTATAAAGTAAGATATCAAAATTACAGAAGAGGCACCTATACAGAATAAATACCGGAAATTTAAGTAGCCAAACTTATCAAGTATAGGCTAGGCCTATAGTTGAAACATCCTTTAAAAATAGGCTACTGAACTTTATTTCCTTATCTACCAAACTTAAGTTAGGGGTAATACTGATCTTATACTACTTATGTTAGGCCTATAGGCCCTATTGAATTTTTTTGCCTTATCTAGCCTACCTAAATTACTTAGACCATTTTAAGCACTTTTTACAATACAATTGGCACTTTTGGGAGAAACGCCTATTTCACCCTGAAAACTTGTGTTTGAAAACCAAGAAAAATGCTAGAAATCGGCGATTTTAGACGCATGAAAAACTGTTTGGTTACCATTTCTGGTATTTGTTTACTTTGGGGGCGTCTAACAAATTTAGAAAAAATGGTTTTATCTCATTATTTGGCCTATTTTGAACACTTTTTACGTTTGGCACTTTTGGGGCAAACGCCTATTTCACCCTGAAAATTGTGTTTGAAAATCGCTAAAAGTGCAACAAAATCTGCTTTTAGCAAATTTCCCATATAGGGAATAAGCTATTACCGTAGGTCTCATGGTAAGACCTGGACCCGGGACCGATTTACATTTTCGTTTTGAAGTCCCCAGAGGTCAAAAACACCATCCGTTCAAATTCATATATAGGCCTATATATATATTTATTTATATCCTAGGTATCTTATCTTACTAATATTATAAATCTGAAAGTTTGTGAGTTTGTGTGTGTGTTTGTGTGTGTGTGTGTTGCTAGATCACGCATAAACTACTGGACGGATTGGGCTGAAATTTGGCATGATGATAGCTCAAATTCCTGATTAACATTAAAGCATATTATTATCCCAAAAATCCTTTCGGGCTCCGCCCCAGTGGCTCTGTAGTTCCCCATGTTAACTTTATGGTTTTTCATATTTAAAAGGAATTAATGAATCTTAACAGCTGTTTCAATTAAACAAGTTGGTTCTGTTTTATGATGTTCAATAGCATAAAAGTTACAAGGATTACCAACAGGGTGCAGCACTATTAATTTTTTTTAATTTATGACAACAGCTAATTTCTAACCAAAAGGTGAGTGAGCGTAGCGAACGAACTTCAACCTGGAGGCGAGTTAGCGTAGCGAACGAGCTAACCTGAAGGCAAGTGAGCGCAGTGAACGAGCTCCAACCTAAAGGTGAGTGAGCGTAGCGAACGAACTTCAACCAGGACGTGAATGAGCCATGCGAATACTTAAAACCGGGGTAAAGGTTAAGGTTAAACGGGGCAAAGTTCGCGGGTACAGCTAGTGTATATATAATTATATGTGTCCGTTAGCACGATAACTCGAGCAAAAATGATCCGATTTTTATGAAATTTGGTACAAACGTGTAAACCTACGTTTATTTGAACGAGTTCGCGAACCAGCATAATCAGACCATAGGAACAGAGGTTTATGGGATAAAAATGAGGTTTTCCCATTTTTGACCCTAAAAACAAAAAATTCTGCGATTTCTTCCTAAACCATCTTGTAGAGCTTAAAAAAGAAATAATTTAGTATATTGAAGCACTGTTGTATGCCTAACGGTCGCGGAGAAAATTCAAAATAAGT